AAATATCTTCATGGAACATGATCTTTACTTAATATCCTAATGATTTTTGGCATAAAAGAGAAATGTATAATTGTGACCCATACAATGTATTGTTGGCTATTGCTACAAATATCCCCCAGCGACTTAACACTGCTTTTGTGCTGCAGGGACACATATATATATATATATATATATACACACACAAATATATTATACACACACACTACCATTCAAAGATTTGGGTGGGTAGATTTTTTTACGTTTTTGAACATTTGTAGTCTTTTATGCATTTATGTAATATTATAACCTAAAATAATGATGCGCAGCTGTATTTTCAGCATCATTACTCCAGTCTTCAGTGTCACATGATCTTCAGAAATCAGTATAATATGCTGATCTGCTGCTCAAGAAACATTTCTGATTATTATCAATGTTGAAAACAGTCGTGCCGCACAATATTTCTGTAGAAACTGATACATTCTATTTTCCAGGATTCACAGATGAATAGAAAGTTCAGAAGAACAGCGTTTATTTGAATTTTATCTAACAATGTAAAGGTCTTCACAGTCACTTCTGGTCAATTTAATGCATCCCTGATGAATAGTATTAGTGATGTTTTTAGGACAAAAAGTCTTAGTGAAGCAGTATTTAAAATTGAATGTGATAAATAGGCTGTGCAAAAGTTTACAATGAGTTGATTTGAATACCTGTAGGCCTGGATGGCAGCGGAGGTGTTCTTCATCTCCATGTACTCGTGACCCATGAGGGTCCAGGCCCCCAGACAGCGTGGATTCAGCTTCAGAGCCCGCTGGAAATACAGAGCGGCCTTCTCGTGCTGAGACCGCAGACTGTAGTAGTTACCTGTGAGCGGACAACAAAACACACGCTGTTCAGAAGACACTCGATGATTCCAAACATACTTTATTTTAGACCATTTCCTCAACAAGCTGGATTTTATAGGTTCTTTTTCTCACATCCCCGTTCAAGAAATCAATTAGTGTAGCTTTTAAAATATATTTAAACTTCTTATTCTAACATAAAAGGTCTTGAAAGGTGTGTCTTGGGCCATTATGCTTTGGCACAGTATCTGGGACACACACACACACAAGCTTCTATATCTGCCATATTTGATGTGCTCTATGCATGTGTGTAGATCATCGCAGATTAAAATAAAAGCCTAAAATATATCTGCTCATCACATGAAGTGATCGTGTCTCTTCATAAGACTTGGATTAAATCACTTGATTCATATGGATTGGTTTTATAATGCCTTAATGACCATTTTGGACCTTCTAAGTTTTGGTTACTTGGACTTTTGGAGAAAGGGCTGGGTTTAAAAGCACGGTAAACGATTGGAGAAGCATCAGAAAAAAATAGATATTTTTTCTGAAAGATCTGAAAGAGTTATAGCATTGATTAAAGTCATTTTTAAAATGTCCGATCCTAACAAACCATACATCAATGGAAAGATTATTTATTCAGCTTCCAGATGATGTATACACCTCAATTTTAAAAAATTGACCCTTATGACTGGTTTTGTGCTCCAGGGTCACATATTAATATTAAAAAAAACATCAAACAAAATAAGAAAATATCACTATTGTAATAACACTGTTTCACTATAATATACAATATTTAAGAATAAATATAATAAATTATATCATTGTATTTTACAGAAAACTA